AGGGGCACTGGTGCATGCTAGCTCCCGAGTCCCACTCTGTGTCCATAAGACACACAGAGCTGCAGCTCGCTCCCCCCATCCTGCTTTCTCCTCAATGGCTCACTGCCTGTGATTGATAGCAATGGGAGCCAATGGCTGCTGTCTCTCAGCCAATGCATACCCATTTCTGGATCAAGAGGGGGGGGGGGGGGGCTCAGGTGAGTATTAGGGGGAGCAGAACAGAGGTTTTTTACCTTCATGCTTACAATGCATGAAGGTAACAAACCTTCAGCTGTTACAACCACTTTTATCCACTCAGCAGAGACTACAATAAAAACCTTACAGGGGTTCTGACCTTTGCCTACTCTATCCAAAACTAGGAAAAAAACGTACATATAATTCCCTTTTCAGAACATTTCCAGCCTAGCATATAATTGTAAGGCAGATGACATATGGCTGACTGCGGCTAGTGATCCTCCCGCTGACCATTTTTGTCTGTCGGCAGAGACCGGGTAACTGAGGGCCTCCTTCTGTCCCTACAGAATTCCTTTGTAGCTGAGGTAGCGAGATGTCACTCCTATTGTTAGCAATTGGGGTTCGGCAGCATTCGGGGGCCAGCAACCTTGCAATGCCAGTGGCAGTGAGGGATTATTTCCATTGGTAACCACAGGCAGTCTTTTAGCAATTCTGCTGGCAATTTGACACTAGTGGCTTTTGGGTTTTTTTTGTTTTGTTTTTTTTTTTTTCAGAGGTTAATCATTGCTACAAATGGTTAATGTCAGCAATTACCAATATTTGTAGCTAGGAATTTAATTGCTAGAGTCACTGGCAATTTGGTACGGCATTGGGTTGTGTTCGGCTATAAATTGCTCCTTAAGTTGTTAGTGAAGCTCAGCAATTGTTGCAACATTTCATAGAAAAGCATTAACAGCGATTACTGCTTGAAATTTTGCCACTCAGCTGAAACACTGATGTATCTCAAAAGCAGAGCAACAAATTGAATTACAAATTCACTGTCTGCAACAGTTTATGGTGAAAAAAAAATTCACTGTGGCGCTCCATTAACCACTTCCAGTCTGGACACTTTTACCCCCTTTTCTGTCCAGGCCAATTTTCAGCTTTCAGTGCTATCACACTTTGACAATTGTGCGGTCATGCAACACTGTACCCATATTAATTCTTTTTAGCATTTTTTTGAGACATAAAGCTTTTTTTTTTGGTGGTATTTATTCACCACTGGGATTTTTATTTTTTTTTTGCTATATAAATGAAAGTCCAAAAATTTTGAAGAAGTTTTTTTTTTCTTCTAACATTTTGCAAATATTTCATAGATCTTGGCCAAAATTTACAAAACAAATCACCCAAATTAGTTTAAAACCAAAACTTATATAAAAAAAGGTAAAAAAAAAAAAAAAGTTTAAAAATTTATTTATTTTTTTTTACAGTACCATGGTGACACTGTACTACTTGTGGGGGTTGATGAAGGCTGTAAAAAACAATCATTTCTCCTTCTCTCTGGCTGCATTCTTACAGCCATTGAGAACTACTGTGTGGGCTGTGATTGGTCACAGCTTGTCACATGATACAAGGCTGTTGTGAATAGCCTTGTACCATGTGACCTCTGTGATCATTCACAGATTTCACACGTAGTAAGCAATGATGTCAGAGGTGACCTCTTGCTTACTACTCTGCATGTGATCACTGATTGGCCAATCAGTGATCGGGACCTCGCACAGAGGTCTCGTCCGACGATCGGTGTTCCACTGTGTCTGGAGGACACAGCGGGCACCGGATAGTGGTGCTGCACGCTCCCAGGGAGCACGCACATTCCATAATGGCGGGTGGTGTTTATGAACAGCAACCCACCCCTGGAGTGCCACCATCCTGCCATTTTTATAAACGGTGAATGGACAGCAAGTGGTTAAAAAAAAAAAAATCCTTGGTTTTCTTGGTGACAAGTCAGTGTAACAAAATTAAACAGCCAGGCAACAGCAGTCTCAGAAGTTTTTCAGCAATGGCAGTCCTCATTCTTAGTGCAGCCCAGTAGTCCCCTTGAATCAAAGTATGGACTAGTCATTGACTATATACTGCTATTACATACGCCATAGGCCTTGCAACGACCGGCTAAAGAGTAAGGTGGAATCTCAGTGCGTTTCTACTAGACATTGTAGACTGCATCTATGGGAATCTGTTATTCCTCCTTTTGGCTGTTTCCTGGCATTATCTCAGGATGTTGATACATTTCAGCTTATCTATTTTTCTCCCAGATTCAGCAGTTTCTTGTTTATGGTTCTAGACTTTGTTAAAAGAGGAAGATGACTTTCATTGAACCCAGAATGACAGTTCTGCAGCCTCTACTAGTCTGGTGTTTGAGTTTTGACATGAAGTATGGCTTTTTATTTCCTCTTTCCGTTTGTTCCCTGCGGATCTTTACGAAACAGTTGTAAATATATACTTGCATCAAATGAATTTGGATTCATAGGGACTTGTTTTACTTTCACCCAAATTTCATGCATTTTCTAATTGTATTGATTTTGAAAAATGAGTGAATCTTTGAAAGTTGGATGAAAACATTGTTAAATGGACCCTATATAGAATCCCTTTAATTATTCCAGAGTACAAGGTTTGGAATATTTTCTGATTAGCACTAAAGTATAACAAACATGTCTACACTTACCTATTGTGTGCAATAGCGTTGCACAGAGCCGCCTGGATCCTCCTCTTTATCGGGTCCTCCGCAGGCTCTCCTGGCCCCTCCCTCTTGTCGGGTGCCCCCACAGCAAGCAGCTTGCTATGGGGGCACCCACTGCTGTGTCCATTCACACAAGTAGCCATGGCTCACCCCCTTCCCTCTGTCTCTTTTCATTGCCTCACTGACTGTGATTGACAGCAGTGGCAGCCAATGGCTCCTGCTTTCAGTCTCAGGCAATGAAAAGAGGGAGTCCCCGGATAGCTGAGGCTCGGCTGTATATCGCTCGATGCAGAGGTGGCTTAGGTGAGTATTGGGGGGGGGGGGGGGGGGGGAGCTGCATAAAGGTTTTTTACCTTCATGCATGAAGGTAAAAAACCTTGAGCCTTTACAACCACTTTAAATGTTAAATATGGGTATGTGTATTCTTACTTGATTGATGTCCTTTGTGCATTTCTTATATAATGGTGCTGTAATCCATCCTAAAACTTTGTGCAAGAGTTTCCTGTAATAAAGACCAGTCCGTGCTGCTCTCTGCTCGTGCAGGGTGACTGGTCTTGTATACGCCCCCTTCTGTAGTGATCTGCAGGGAATCCTGTTAGGACCTCGTAACAGGTTGTGTGCCTTACAGCAATAATGTCACATCCACTTTTATATGGTAATCGGAGGATACGAAGGCATCTGGTGCTCACAGTGGATTTATACCGTTTAGTGGCAATTGGAGAATATATTTGAAATCTGTTTGTGTTCTGAAACCCGTTTTTTAAGACTGAAAGGTTCTAGTGACCTAAATTAGAATGCTTGCGCGTACGTTGGGGTTTTTTTTTTTTTTTTTTCCCCGGCATATACCCAGTAACAGCCCTGTCTTGTAATTTCTGCATTCTGTGGGCGGCTGTACGCAGCCTGTATGTCTGCCAGTGATGATTTTACACAGGTGTTGTATGCTGTGCAGCTCCATTGGGGCTCATTCACAGGTGCGTCAATACCCTGTGTTTGTGGCATTTAAGACGCATCTTTACCACTTTTCTTCAATATCTGCCATGAGTATTACAATGGGCACCACAAAATGCAGTACACAAAGGTGCAGTAGCTTTGTATTGTGTTAAAAAGTAAGTAGTAGTCACTTTTAGGCGGCATCACCGCTTATCTACTGTCTCCATTCATTTTAATGGTAGTGCACTGTAACTGCATCATAACTGTGCCTATAGCCTTTACGATGAATTTTATAACGTGTTAGCTGGGTGCTGGGAAGAGGCAATGGAGGTTCCACAATGCCAGAATTCACTGGGAAATAGAGAAATGGGACAGGGCAGCTCCAGCATTTTAATATTCTTGCCAGTGGCAAAGCTTTTTGTGTTTTGGTAAAGAGTTGGTGCTAGCAAGTGACCTTGACAATCTTTCCAAGATCATCTCGAGATGGACCAAACCAAGTGTCAGTGATCAAAGTACAGTATATGAACCCATCTCTGATAAATTCTAATACATTGCTTCCCTGCTAAGCATTTCCCACTAGAAAAACATTTTCATGGGCGTTTGACAAGCTTTCTTGATAGTTTACAGTTCTTTAAAATAAAAGTCACAGATGCATCACAAATTGTGTAAATGTGCTTATGAGCATTTATTCATTGAAACACTTGTGAACAAGCCCTTACCCTGGGTTTGCAGACCACGTTTGTGCAGACATTGCAGCCCAATATTTGAATGGGCTGCCATACCTGCGTTTCCCGCAGAAAAAAGGTTCATGCACCATTTTGGAAAGGCAGTGGTTGGGAAATGGCATGATGCTTTTGCACCATGTAATTTCTTGCAGTTCCTTCACCTGCAAATGCACTGTGGGATTAGATGCATGGGGGTGCCGTTAAGAATGAATGCCAGCTCTTCTTGTCTCTACACATCAGCGCGTTTTGGCTGCTGGTAGCTGTAGGTGCGGGAACAGCTGCAATTCCTGCATCTACAACCACCCCACATAGTGTGAACCTAGCTTTAAAGGTACAGCAACACACTAAAAATACAATTTTTGTATTGCTAGGTAACTATTGGGGACAGTCGGAAATTATCACAGTGCATCAGTTTTAGTGAAACTCCCCATTTTGCATGAATGTAGGACCCAAGAACGTGTGTGTGTGTGTGTGTGTGTGTGTGTGTGTGTGTGTGTGTATATGACAAGACTGATTTAAAAAAAATATATATTGCTTTCTAATGTTAGTAATGTGTTCTTACATAAGCTTTGAAAAAGAAACTTAAATGTAAAAGTTTGTTTTTGTTTTTTTTTTTTTTTTTTATTTGTCTTTTTATTATAAACATTTGATCTATTGACTGTTCTACCGTTTAGGTTAGGTCTGTATCTGTGGATCTGAACACAGACGCATCACTACAGATTGACATTCCAGATGCAATCAGTGAGCGAGAAAAAGTGAAATTTACTGTCCACACAAAGGTGAGATTAAAGTGACCATTAGAAAAAAAAAAAAGCGTGTGCACACACATGTTGTGGGGGTTGGCTTTTTAATTTTAGTGTGTGTGTGTGTGTGTGTGTGTGTGTGTGTGTGTGTGTGTGTGTGTGATGAACTTGTAAAGGTGTCTCCCATTTTGTGACTGCCCTAGGGTGATGGCATTCACCTGGTCCTTATGCAACTGGGCAGAGTCAACTGACAGAAAATTCGGGATGAAGGGAAATCGGGAGTTTGTTATTGGTCTTCTGAAAATGTTAATTCTCTGGCTTTCATTAAGCTCTAACAATTTTCTCATGAAATAGTTTTGTTAAGCCTGATGCAGATTGTACAGGGATTGTGCCTAACAGTTTGTATTGAGTAAGGCCTGCTAAATATACCACACATGGTAATAGCCTGACCTGGCTCCTTCACTTTTGCTCAGCGCTTTACAATATAACAGGAGACAATACAGTTCAATACAAGAGGGTTAGGAGGGCCCTGCTCCTTAGAGCTTACAATCTAAGGTATGAGACATTCTACTTTATAATGGCACAATATGGGAAGTGCAGTAGGAAAGCTGTGTGTGGATATATTCTAATACAAATGTATTCTTTATTTAGCAAAGTACAAATAGTCCAGTGTGCACAAATTAGTTAGGGGGCACCGCTGAAAAACAGTGGGAGATACTACAGCGGTGATGCATGTTGCCTAAACCACCATAAAGTTCACCAACGTGTGCAATATAAATTGATATTGTTCCTTTGATAAGCACCCCAAATTTGGGGCTGCACTGGCTGCTTGGAATATGCCCTTATGGGAACCAATGCTGTAAAGAAGTCAATTTTGGGGAATTGATCCGAAGAATCAATTTATATTGCTACCATATTGTACGCATGTTGGTACTTTTATGGTTGTTTGTGACATTTATCACAACCATAGTATCTGTGGCTTTCCTGCAGTGCATGTACCATTCCCTGTAAACCAGTGTTCCCTACTGAATTGCGTGTGTGCTGGACTATTTGTATGCTGTCTACTTTACTCCAGGACTCCTTGGTGGTTTATCTAGCAGCACCAACTGTCAGATGGTAACTTTTTTTTTTTTGGTTTACCATTTATCATGGATTATTACATCTGGACATAACTACAAGTGTAAATATGAATATTGATGAATATCATTGCATATAGGTTTTACCCAAGTCTCCATTGTTGGCACTATCACAATACTGTTCAAATTTTATTTTGCAGACTACCCTGAACGTTTTCCAGAACCCAGAGTTCTCTGTGACCCGTCAGCATGATGACTTCCACTGGTTACATGATTCTCTTACAGAGAATGAGGACTATGCTGGCATTATTGTGGGTATTTTACATTGGCTGCATGCAATCTCCCTAACAAATTGTGCTTGCAAATGACCTCTTTCAATCTTAATAAAAAAAAATGGCAATACAATAATATAATGTAGTCTATTGTGGCAGGATGTAGGCGCAGAAGGTAGAAATGTAAATTACGATTACCTTTTTGGACTACAGGGATTGCAGTTGGTTCCCTTTCTGCTGCTGCTTCTTGGCCATAAGCCTCCCTCGTATCACCTCTCTCTATTTTAAAGTGACCCTTTTGCCAGACCATTAATCTCAACAGTGGTCTTCCTATTAATATATATACATTTACCCTTTCATGCTTATTTTTGCATGTAAAATCCCCCTCCCTTTTTTTTTTTTTTTTTTTTTTTTTTTTTTTTTTTTTTTTTTTTTTTTTTTTTTTTTGGGGGGGGGGGGGGGGGGGGGTGTGATGTCCAAAAGGTCTAATAAGTGGAGGTCTACAGCTGTTGGGCTCTGCCATCTTGGATGTGATGTCAACTGCCTCAGCAGAGTCAGAACTGTCATTTAAGTGACATTTTTATAGTATTCCCCTTCACTCCTCCCCCAGCAGCTCCAAAAAATGTTATGTATGGAGATGAGCTAAAGGACAGAGGAGGAGCTGGTCTAGCACAGAGACTCCCAGAAAAAAGCAATGGGAATCTGTCAGCTCCTGAAGCTAATCATGGCCACTCGCATGTAATCGCGCAGGCAGTGATTACATGCGAGTGATTGACCTTTGACATTGCCTTGTTTCCAGGGTCAAACACTCGCATGTGATTGCTGCTTGATAGATTACATGTAAGTAACTGTGATATTAGCTGCGGGAGTCGGCAGCCTCCCATTCCTTTCAATTGGGCTACCTCCCGCAGGTAATTCCAGGAACCCTCGCTGGGGTTCTTACATTTAGTTTTAGTGCATAAGTATTCACAGATATGAATGCACCCTAAGCCTTTTTGTTGGGTTTAATAGAATCAGGTAGTGCAAAGAAAGATGCAAAATATACCTTATATCGGGAAAAGTGGTGTATGGGAAGAACAATGAATATAATAATTGCATCAACATTTGCTAGCTACTTGTTTTTAGTGGTCAGTGTAGTGGAATTTAAAAAAAAAAAAAAAAAATTATAAAATGCAGTGACTCTATGTACAGATAAACCCCCTGCTGGCTTTCTTTTGACAGAATATGCCAAATAAATGTTATATATTTTATAAAGCTTACAGTAATATCTCATTCCTCCACCTGAAAATTTTCTTCCTATCTAGATTCCCACCAGCACCTGCAAAACCTGACTTTGATGGGCTAGGGACAAAATGCAGAAGTTGGGTGAAGGAGAAGGCTCTATGACAAAGGATGAATTTGCCAAAATGAAACAGGAACTAGAGGCGTATGTACTGTCTATCAAAATCATATATACACAGTCTGTCACACATGTTCATTATAGTGGAAGCAGTTGAGGAAACCTTTGAAAGATTGTTGAGTGCTATATTTACCCTAAAAAGTACAATTTATATTTCAAATTTAAACAGGATCTTCAGTCCTCTCTCAAAAAAAGGTCAGCAGCTACAAATACGGTTTTAAAAAAAGGACCATTACCTGTCCAGGGATCTGGGGCTGTCCTTACCTGGGTTGTTTCTTTGCTGGTCTTGTCCCCGACTCTGCCATGTCTTGTGTGGGAAGCCAGCTGCACCTTCTCACTATGCATGCGCAAGTTGTGTTGCGCATTATGAATGGACCTGCTTCCGGAGACCTGTTAAATGTCTTTGAAGGCTGTGGTGAAGGGAGGCCAACTTCTGCTCAGATTACCTAGGCCAGTGGTGGGCAACCTTTTTTTTTCAACTGAGCCAAATCTCGCCAAAACCACGATTGAAATTTATTTTGAGAGCCACATTTTTAAAACTGAAAATACATCCCCCCTATAGTAATTCATCCCCCCTATAGTAATTCATCCCCCTATAGTAATTCCCCCCTATAGTAATTCATCCCCCCCTATAGTAATTCATGCCCCCTATAGTAATTCATTCCCCATATTGTGTCAATTCACTTACCTTTGCTCCGCGCGTTCCTCTCGCCGTGTTCCCGCGCCCGTTCTGGTCTTCAGGCGGACTGTGAGAGGAGAGGAGTTTGTCACGCTGCCCCGCCTACATCCTGGCTGCCCTGCCTACATCCTGACAGCTGCAGAGTCCTGACTTTTGGGGCGGCCGCCTGAGAGGAGGGAGGGGGGCGGCCGCCCGAGAGGAGGAGGGGAGCGCGCCCCGGCACACAGAAGAGCCGCATTTAAGTTTGTAAAGAGCCGCATGTGGCTTGCGAGCCGCGGCTTGCCGACCACTGACCTAGGCGGTCCAAGTGGAAGTGGCGGCAGGTACCTATCAAAACTCACGTGTTTTATGCACAACATGCCAGTATCTGGTTGGCTAGCCTTTAGAAGTCATAGCTTTCTGGCCTAGAATGCCACCTAAACAATCCACTTTATATTAGACTACAAGACTCTTGTACTACATTGTTGGTAGATCTAAAGAAAGTTTATACAATTAGATCTTAAAGTGTATCTCTAGCTTAACTGGGGATCCAGCTGCATCAGTGTAGTACCATTTGTTATGGCCTAACGGGAGTGGTAGAGACAGAGATTCTACTACTAAAGTATACATCTAAATGTGATTCACATATTGTTAAAATGTTCAGTTTCTGATTTATTGCCATCCGTATTTACTTGGCTGTCTAAACTCAAAACTTTTTGAAGCATTCCAAACCAGGATTAAGAAATTGTTCCCTTACACCAACATGATTTATGGAATCCTGTCCAAAATAAACTGTCAGGAACCAATGGCCGTGTTTATAAAGAGGCTGAGTCACCGTGGTCCCAGTATACAATGCATTCTCTATTACAGTCACGGGTTGCCACTTGGGTCAGTGAGGACAAGTGACCTTCTTCTTTCATTTAGCACTTTGATTAGTATTAGTCATTTACATGATTCTTCCTGTTCTTGTGACACACCCAAAGCAAATGTGCTGTGAACTGACACTCTTAGAAACACATAGAAATCTGAGTTCTTGTGTACTGCAGGTGCACTTCGAGATGTGTAAAGCAAAAACTTTTTTTTCAAGCTATCTGCAGAATTCCGCTGTTTGAATTCATATTCACTTTCTTATTCACTGCTGTGTTATTTAGATCCAGTATTGTGCATGTGTGCATAAAACTAGGGTTATATGACCTGAAATGCCAAAGAGTAAAACTCCCTTTGTACATAATTGGCCAAGCTCAACCCCTACCTATAAACTTTGTAGCTTTGTGCTCGGTGTTCCTTTTTGGCTTTGTTATGCCTTTAGGTTCATTTCACTGGTCTATTTATTTACCTTTTTATTATCTTGTGGCATGTATGTGATGGATATTTCAGTACATAAAGTGTATGTGTAGACCAAACCACCTTCTCCTTCCTTATTTTTTAGTTAAAAAAAAAAAAAAAAACTAGGGACTTTGTAGGATAGCACATAAATGATATAAATTCAACATATAGACCAATTAAAAAAAGGAATCCAGGTTTACTAATCTTCTCAAAAATTTTAAAATCTCACATGTACAGTTCAGTATTCTTATCTGACAAACTACAAAGACCACTTATATATTTGCATTATATTGAATGTCCCATTTTACAGGTAACGCTATTGTGGTCAGCACGTTTCGTAGATAGCTCCTCCTTCCTCAGGGCTGACAGTGAAAGGGTTACAAGACTTCAGGATCTGAGTATAGTGGTTACAGAAATCTGCAACCACACTCTTCCTAAAGAGCACGATGTGGGCTACTTCAGTTTGGGACTAAAGGATAGAAGGGTCCAGGACATATGCTGTCCTGCCTCAAGATGGTGGTGTTGGTGGAGACTTCCTCTCCTCCCAATTCACAGAATTGTAAAGAAAAAATTTGGGATAGATCAGGGAAGGGTTAAAACCCACTTAATTGTATCCTTTTACATGTTGTGTACTGTTGAGATTTGCCTTCACTTTTTGTCATGGAGAGCATTTAGAGGAAGACTCCTACAATGAGGGCAAATGCTCTTAGACAGTTGACACCGTAGTTGATATACCCTCACCTATTTGGCGACAACTCTAAAATTTTGGATTCTTCCCTCCTTTTGTCAGGGGGTCCAACCTGGCATTAATTGCTGTAATACACCACCCATATAGACTCCCCCAGTCATTGTACATTATCTTTTTGTTGACTACTTATGACTATGGCAAAAGTATGATGGAATTTCTGTCCCTTCACCTGCTTTTTCAAGGTGGAACTAAACCCACCGATGTAACAGTTTCCTAAAACTGTTACATTCAAGACATGCCTTGGATTATAGCGGTTACAGTTACTAGTGTGCTGAATTTGGATTTCAAATGAAGCGTCAAGCCCTCAATTGGCTAGTGTAATAAACTGGTCACATGTTCAGCACCAACTGCAGATCAAACAGAGGCTAAGATGGCGGCTTCGGCTGCTGTATAGGATAGGAGAATTGTAACTGCAAAGTGTGTATCCAAACCTGGGAAAGTCAAAGCCCTCCTGAGGGGTCAGAGTTTTCTAAACTGCTGTTTCTTCCCATCAAGATGCACTTACATTTTTTAATTTGTAAATCTAAAACCCAAGATGTTCTAAACTGCAATAACAACTACACATCAATTCAGCAAATTTTTAAAAAGTGTATTTTAAGTTTTTTGGTTTTTTTTTTTTTTTTTTCTTTCCTTTTTAACTGATTGTTGGCGAGCAGCTGTGGTTATTGGCAGGGAATAGTAATGTGTTTTTAGCAGTTTGGCAGACGATGCTCCTCCATCATAACGCTGTGTGTGTGGAGCTGTGTCCAGGGTTTATATTGCGTACAGATAATCTCCGGGGATTAAAGTGTCCTGGGCTCGCAGAGTGAAACACAGACTGGTGTGCCAGATGTGTGCAGGAGGACAACATAACTGCCAGCATTTTATGCTGTGTAATTTTAATTTTTCTGTTTGGAAAACGAATTGCTTATATACCAAATCTGTAGTATAGGGGTGAAAAGTGTTCTCATTTTGGCTGCAGCAGTGAACTATACACTTGTCCATGCCACCTTGCATTCTGTAACTTTCTTCCCTTTGTGCTTGCAGGGAATATCTGGCAGTTTTTAAGAAAACTGTGTCTGTACATGAAGTATTCCTGCAGAGAATCGCCTCTCATCCCATCTTGAGCAAAGACCGAAACTTCCATATATTCCTGGAATACGACCAAGATGTAAGCACCCTTCCTTCCTGTGTAGAGGCCAGGGCCTGGATGCTGACACAGCTTTTTCTTTGCTGATGTTTTTTCCATTCAGTTGCAGTTTTCTCGAATCACATTCATGTAATGTCACAAACCCATATAGGTGTTTTATTTCTTTAAAGAAAAAAAAAAAAAAAAGTAAGTCCGCTAATTACACATTCAAAATGCATATATGATAACTGTTTTTAAATGCCAAAGGCCTTGTTCACACAGGTATATCTAAGCATACGCCCTTGCAAAGGGCCAGGTTTGCCCATACAGGATGCACAGCTGTTCGTGCATCTGTGTGCAGATCATCCAATTCATGTATATTGGGAAGCCGCAGCTGCACACTTGGCCACTGGTCCCAGTTTGTGAGCTGTGTAGGTGCAGGTCCCTGAAAGCATGCTGTATGCATTTGGGGACATGCACCTGCAACTCTGTCAACTTGGGACCATCGGCTGTGTCCATGTAGCTGCTGAATTCCCCTATACATGAATGGGTCTGCATGTGCTTGGGTGTATTGAACACCTGTGAACCCCTAGCGGGCAAACATGGCCCTTTTTGTGTAGATGTACGTTCAGACACACCCGTGTGAATGAGGCTTAAGGATTTGTAGTTCTGCTAATCCTGTAATGCTAGACACAACCAAGCCCTCAACCACCACTGCAGCAGCAGTGCAATATACTCAAGACCACATCTCTAGAATGGTCATTGAAAGCATTTTTAGCATGCTCTGCTGTTCCCTCTCAGTAAATTTGCCTGACTGACTCGGAGTGCTGGCCCTCCTGTCAAAATCTAGGTCCTGCACAGGATTACAAGAGGCTGATAATATTAGCATCATTTAAAAATACATTTCTTAGTTTATTAAATATATTTTGTACTAAACTGGACCTATAATATAGAAGCCATGCCCAAAAAAGTCAAATTGGGAGCAGAAGTCTAGCTCAGGGAACCTACAGGCAATATTGGGACTAATCTTTTCCCCAGTAATAATTTACCATGTCTTGTTCCACACTGTGTGGAGTTTGTCATATTGGTAGAGAATCAGGGCTTTGCTTCATGATGTCAATCCCAACACTGGATGACTGATGGGATAATTAAGGGAAAAGTAGATTTACAGACTGAATAAATCCAAAGCAAAGAAATGCTTCTTGCAACATAATCTCCAGCAAATCCTTTAAGAGCAGCTCAGTTGTGACTTTGCAACATCTTAAGCTGGCTATAAACGGTTAGAAAGTTGTTTGAAAAAGCCTTTGATACGCTTGTTCGAATTTTGAAACGTTAGTGGAGATAATTTTCGATTAGTGAAATGCAGTTTTATGGCAAAAAAACTGTTTTTTGAGCCAAAATCTCTTTTCTAAACATTTTAGCAGTGGAATCTATCAAAAACTGTCTGAAAAATTTACAGCGCTCGTGCTTGTTAGAGATTGTAACCCCACAAGTTACAAGCAATGAAAAGAGATCTTTTTTAAATACAGTTGACAAGTGGGAGGGTTCACAAAGGTAAAAAAAAAATCTTTGTGTCATTTCCACTGATCGACGAAATACACCATTTATGTGAACGATTGATATGTCAACAGTTGGGAAAAGGTTTTGATACAATGATGGCATTATTGTAAAATTCTAACTGGCCAGCATTAGTCATCAAAGGCTTCAGTAGGCAGCATGTCTCAGATTATTAACCCTGCCTACAGTGCTCAGAAAGAAATCCCAAAGAATAGCCATCATCCGAGGCAGAAGTAGGTAAGGTATGCTTTAGACCAACTCACACTGCAGATATTCAGCTTTTAGGCTTCCAGGAACATTAAGTCTTGGGGGGGGGGGGGGGAGGTATAACCGTATAACCGTATAACAATGAAACAGTCTATAGTTGGATGTTATTGAGATGAGTTGTGCAGCTTTTCCTTGAGCATCTGGCCATTTTAAACAGCTTCTGATACTTTGCTGTGCAAACTCCTCTCCATACAATAAATTTTATTCTTTCAAGTCCTAATGAAGGTAGCAGAGGTACAACCCTAAAATGCAATAGCTTTGTGAAATATTTAACAGAAAAGTAACTTTTATCAATTTATTAGTGTGGCAATCCAGTTCTGAAACTACTCATTACTACAACAACCTAGGGTGATCATGGAAGCCCTATGGTATGTTAATTTTGCCAGCCCAATATTCACATTCTCCATATTTTCAGTAACAACGTATTTTTGGATGGCTACAATATTAAGTAAATATATAGAAGAAACCTCCGTTCTAGTGCTTTTTATCAATTTCTTAAATATCCTTTTGTAAATGGCAATTACTGATCTATGCAAGTTAGGGCTTGTTTACACTTGTGGATGAGGGTTGGTAAAAGCTTGCGGTTGAGCATTGTCTTTACAGTGCCTGAACCGTTCCCCCTTTTGCTGCTGAGGCTTTACACATGCTGCAGCTGTGATGGTTTGCTCCACTGCAGAAATCATACCCCTTGTTGCGTCTAGTGAACAGCACAGTTCGCTGAGTGTGACCCATTTTAGTGCAACCACTTCACAAAAAAAATGAGGAAGTGATGCAACACCTCCTCACCGCCTATTTTGCTGTTGGAGTGATTTGAACAGGGATCACGCTTCAAACTGCAAAGCATGTAGTTTAAACCTAAAGCAAATCTAGAATAGGCAAATAAACTGATAATCTATGTGTATGGCAGCTTAAACCCCTGTGCTGAGTATAGTGCAATCATTGCATTCAAAATATATCTCCAAGCTCCAAGTCTGTGTAACCTTTTGTATTTGTAATGCCAAATCAAAGGGAGATTTAAATTGGCCCCAGACATGCAAGAGACTGTAGAGGGCATAGTTGAAAGGCTTTCCCACAATTTGACCATGTTGATTGAAAAACCTTCCTTGACAATCCTAGATCATCTCTTCTTCCATACTCTTGTTATATAAACACACACACTAATTTTTTTTGGGAGCAGTGGGTACTTCGTTTTTATAGATTTCCACTCAGATGCCACAAGGTGTCACAGCCAGTGTCCTACAGTAAACATGCTGGCACCGGAGACCTGAAAACCGGTGAAGAATAAGCCTGACAGGGATCCTTGGACAGGTTAGTGTCCATTTTATTAAAAGTCAGTAGCTACAAATACCTTAGCTGCTGACTTTTTTAAGGTTTCCTTTCTAGGGTGAAGATCCTCTTTGAAATGTTGCAAAAAGACACCCACAATCAAAACATGGACACTGAAGCTAATCTGAATTTCCCTGGCACTTCCCTTCATGTTAAACCTCCTGAAAAGATTGTAGCATTCAAAAGGAACTTGTTTGATAAAAAAAATTCTTGATTAAATTATAAACACTTCATCAAGACAGGTACAAAAGACCATGGCGTGCAGTCATCACACTTTCTCAAAGCTTTAATAGTACGTTGACAAAATAAAATTGTTCTTTGCACAAAGATGTCCTTTTTTGTACCTGTTTTTTATTGAGTGTTTACAATTCATTAAAGGAATGTTTTAATGGCAAGTGTGAAAACAAAAACAAATTGTCATGTGTATTGCTGCTAATGTGGATTTTATTTACTCCAGAGGAGTGTTGCATTAGTATGTGTGTCAGAAGTATTCCATAAACCGCTTTGGGCTAGTATGCTCACGCCCGTGCTCAGATCATAATACAACCAAATAGTGAATTACATCAAGATTATTAAATCCACTTCATGACATTTGGAACCAATCAGCCAATTTACACATTCATTAAGTAACCGCTATCTCCATGGCTTTTTATTATTATACAGGTTTTATATAGCACCGACCGTTTGCTCAGCGCTTTACATTTATGGTAGGAGACAGTATACGAGACAGTACAGTAACAATGCAATTCAATACAAGGGGTTCGAGGGCCCTGCTCCTTGGAGCTTACAATCTAGGGGGGAGGGGACAGTGATACAAGAGCCAACTGTGGGGGATGGAGTGGTTGGAAGAGTAGAGGATTTCAATATTAGCTGAGGGCGGGGTAGGCTTCCCTAAAGAGAGGTTTTCAGAGTGCGCCTAAAAGTGATTATTCTTAGGTTAATGCTGGTATAAACTTTTTTTTTTTTTTTTTTTTTTTTTTTTTTTAGTATAACAAGTATATGCAGGGATGGATTTGAATTTATGCCGAGGGTATATTCCTTGGCATCGATTCAAATCCATCCCCGCATATACTTGTTATAGAAAAAAAAAAAAAAAGTTATACCAACATTAACCTAAGAATAATCATAAGTGAATCAAACAAATAACAAAGAAAACATCCCTCACTATATCCTCAGCTTAAACCAGAGAAAAGCGGCTCGCACCAATAAGTATGTATCCGAGGGGATTAAATTCTGATTTGGATTTAAAGTATCCAAGTGGTATATCCATTGTACTCCGTTATCTTGATAATAACTCATGATTTCCTCCTCCTATTTCTATTTATCCCATCAATGACCATAAATTTCAATTGTGAAATCGTATGTTTCTTCTCAATAAAATGTCTAGACAGTGGTAACTGTGTCCCATAGAGGTACCCACATGGACATTTGATTACATATAGAACATATGAAGATTGATAGATATAATAACCCTTAATAGTAATCCTATGTCCTCTATGGGGGTGACATACATATTTATCCTTCATTATAGAATTGCATTGTATGCAGCTAAGGCACTGATATGATCCAGTAGTGCGAGGACCAAGAAAAGCTACAACAGGACCAGGTTGTACTTATTGGTCCGTTTGTACCAATCGATCTCGAAGTGTTCATTCCCATCTATAGGAAGGAAAAGGAGGGGAATGAAATTCAGAAATATTGGGGTAACTGTGCTTTAAGTATCGACCAATGTATGTTAATATGTATAGGACACGAGAAGGGATGGAATTGAGACACAAAGGGAATTCTTCTGTCTCTAGTAACTTTTTTCTCTTTACACTGTAGAGATTCTTCCATTCTCTACATACCAATTCAGTGGGATAACCTCTCTGTGGAAGTCTTTCCTTCATCTTGTCCAACGGTTCTCTCATATCAAAGGGTTAATGACTATCCTGGCTACACAAGATAATAGACTTTTAGGATTTTAAACACTCCAGGTGGATGAAAACTAAGTGCAACAGCTGGTTGCGATCTGTAGGTTTTACAAATAGATCGCAAACTATGTTGCCCTCATGAATTATTAGAGCATCCAAAAATGTTTTTAGTGGTGTTAAATTTGAGTCCAGGTACCAAATAATTTAGATACTCGCGCAATAATAGGGTTCCAATGTTGCCAAACAATACAGCAAACACGTCATCAATAAATCTAAACTATCCACGACAGTTCCAAAAACAAACTATTTATAAATAAATGAAGACTCCATCATATCCATGAAAGTATATAATAAGTAAAAAGAACTCCACGCACTGCCATTTAATGTCTAGGTGAAAATGTCAAGTGTCAATATTTTGTGTGGCCACCATTATTTTTCCAGCACTGCCTTAACCCTCTTGTCATGGAGGAGTAGAAGAGGACTTCAGTGGCAACCTGTGAAGCTCTGGTGGACTCCATGCCCGACATCACGGAGCTGGTGGATGTTAGAGACCTTGCGCTCCTCCACCTTCCATTTGAGGATGTCCCACAGATGCTCAATAGGGTTTAGGTCTGGCGACATGCTTGGCCAGTCCATCACCTTTACCCCCTCAGCTTCTTTAGCAAGGCAGTGTTCATCTTGGAGGTGTGTTTGGGGTCATTTTGTTGGAATACTGCCCTGCGGCCCAGCCTCCGAAGCAGAGGGGATTATGCTCTGGTTCAGTATGTCACAGTACATGTTGGCATTCATGGTTCCCTCAATGAACTGTAGCTCCCCAGTGCCAGCAGCACTCATGCAGCCCCAGACCATGACACTCCCACCACCATGCTTGACTGTAGGCAAGACACACTTGTCTTTGTACTCCTCACCTGGTTGCCACCACACATGCTTGACTCCATCTGAACCAAATAAGTTTATCTTGGTCTCATCAGACCACATGACATGGTTCCAGTAATCCATGTCCTTAGTCTGCTTGTCTTCAGCAAACTGTTTGCGGGCTTTCTTGTGCATCATCTTTAGAAGAGGATTCCTTCTGGGATGACAGCCATGGAGACCAATTTGATGCAGTGTGTGACGTATGGTCTGAGCACTGACAGGCTGACCCCCCACCCCTTCAACCTCTGCAGCAATGCTGGCAGCACTCATATGTCTATTTCCCAAAGACAACCTCTGGATATGACTCTGAGCATGTGCACTCGATGTCTTTGGTCGACCATGGCGAGGCCTGTTCTGAGTGGAACCTGTCCTATTATACCGGGTCTTGGCAATCTTCTTATAGCCTAGGCCATCTTTATGTTGAACAACAATTTTTTTTCAGATCCTCTGAGTTCTTTGCCATGAGGTGCCATGTTGAACTTCCAGTGACCAGTATGAGAGAGTGAGCGATAACGCCAAATTTAACACACCTGCTCCCCGGTCACACCTGAGACCTTGTAACACGAACGAGTCACATGACAGTGGGGAGGGAAAAATGGCTAAATGGGCCCAATTTGGACATTTTCACTTAGGGGTGTACTCACTTTTGTTGCCAGCGGTTTAGACCTTAATGGCTGTGTGTTTGTTTTGAGGGGACAGAAAATTTACACTGTTATACAAGCTGTACACTCACTACGTCACATTGTACCAAAGTGTCATTTCTTCAGTGTTACATGAAAAGAGATAAAATATTTACAAAAATGTGAGGGGTGTACTCACTTCTGTGAGATACTGTATATTAATATATTCTAAACAGCACAGACCATAATACAAATTTTCACGGTTTTAACCAGTTGGCCATTCATTTTTCTACGCAGTTAAGGTGGGCTTTACTTGGTTGCTATGGATAAAGCGAAGCTGGTTTGGACATTTTTATACAAGGAGCATATTGAGATCTATATTGGTTATTTTTGAGGATCTGGTAGCTAATTACACTCTTTATGATTTTAGTTAAGTGTAAGGCGGAAAAAACACTAAAGAGATGTTTGGTGGATTCTTCAAGAGTGTGGTGAAGAGTGCTGATGAAGTTCTTCTATCTGGAGTGAAGGTGGGGTCCCTAGAGGCTTTATATCTTTTTCTATCAAACAACTAAATATATATGTATGTGTGTAAAATTTTATATATTTCAAAATCATTCTTTTTTTTTTTTTTTTTTTTTTTTTCCTTTTATCTGTTGATTGCATTGGTCTTTAAACCATGACCCTTCTATGGTATGGTGTAATACTTTGCCACATCCTAAAGTCACCTCTCATCACTTTTTCCTCTTCACAGGAAGTTGATGAATTCTTTGAGCAAGAAAAAATATTTCTGGTGAATTACTACAATCGGATCAAGGACTCCTGTTCTAAGGCTGACAAAATGACAAGATCCCATAAAAGTTTGTATTCTTTACAGAATGGATTTATTTTCCTTTCTCATTCCTTGTATGGATTTGTAAGTTGTCCTCCTAGCAAATTCTAACGGACAAGAATGAGGTGTTTGTCTTACAAGGAATCTGTGTGAATGGGGGCAATGCTGTGCAGACATTTCCTAAACCAAAATGTTATTGCATTACTTGGTTTGCCTGAGCTTGAGGGTCAGAGGTCACCTAAAGTGACTGTGAGGTCAGAAAGGGTCATACATTAATTGCACACCTTGTGGTCTACACAGCCAGTTCTTTAATAGGGCTGCTGAAGTGATCCAGTGGATATTTAGGGAACATACCTAATACCTTTTTCTTTGTAAAGTTGTGACAGGGCAGCACCTGTCAGAACTAAAGCTGAACTTTAGATTGATATAAAAGTCACCTATAAATGCAGCTCTTTAATCATTTAAATACATAATATAAATGTTTTGATCAATGTAAGTACCTGTATTTTACTTGGTATCAGTCTCTCGCAGTTCCTGTACAGTAGAGCTGGGAGGGAAAGGGGCGGTACAAACAGCTGGCTCTGAGGAAGAGGCAAGTCTTCGAAACGAGTTAGCCTGTTGGAGGTCCAGGGTTTCTATTGTGGACAGTCATGTAATTTGGACTGGACAGTGCTGTTCTTTTTATGATGTGCCTTTTGAGGTATTTGTCTGAGTATATTATTATCACCTTTTTATTAACCGCATCCCGTCCGCCCTATAGTGGACATACTGCTAGAGCGTGGCATGGGTGCGCAAAATCGTGTGTATATACATGATTTTGCATTTCCAGGTAGGGGGCAAGCGCGCCCTACCTGCTTTGCTGTTTGTGACTATCAATCACCGCGCAATTGTCCGTTAAAGTAACTGTAATAATGTATTGTATTGTGTTTGCGTGCAGTAAAGTTCATTTAAGTATATTTTTCCCTGAAAAATTTAGTTTGATAAACAGCTGCCCAAATATTTCACATAAATCGCAACAGCCACCATTTTATTCTCTAGGGCCTTTGCTTTCAAAAAATATTTAACGCTTAGGGGTTCTAAGTAATATTGTAGCTAAAAAATGCTGATTTTAACATGTATGTGAAAAAGTTCCGAACTGCCCTGGACAGCAAGTGGTTAAATGGGCCCCCCTTTTTTTTTTTTTCCCTCCCCTCTTCCCCATCCTGCACGAGGAACAGATTCCCCCATCCACACAATTGAGCTGGATGGATGAACCCTCCCTGCTGTGCTATTATATTCTGATGAGAGACTCCCACGCCCCCCCCCCCCCCCCCCCGTTATCAGAATACAGATCAACGCAGTAGCTTACTGCCTGCAGTGATGACTCTCTGCTAAGTAGAATAAACAATCCTTCTTACTACATGTCATGATGTAGAAAAAAATGTGAGATGCGAGATGCATGGAGATGTCACTTCTCGTGGTGCAGCCATGCACTGCAGTTTTGACAGTGGGTACGTTTCATAGTTCAAGATGTTGACAAAATACCTACTAATGTGAGGGGTTTTTTTTTTTTTTTTTGTTTTTTTTTTTTTTTTTCCATTATAACAACTTTCAATTTTCCTAGTTTTTGCTAAGAAAGAATACAAAATTGAGATTGCTTTATTGCTGTACTGGGAGTTGCTAGTTCCTTGCCGTTATTGTCTACCAGTGGTGTTATGACCCTCTATGCCTTTCTATTATTGCTTCCTGCTTTCTTTGCAGATGTTGCTGATGATCACATCCATATTTCGTCTGCCCTGGTCTGTGTGGCTGAATCGGAGAGCACACCACTTAGAAAGTAAGTGTAACTGTCAGCTGTGGGTGGAAAAGAATGTGGAGTAGGAAGTCCTTTTAATGACTTCCCCTTTGTTGAATAAACACATTCCATTCAGCAGAGGCCCATAACTCTCACAATGGTCTCATCTAGCGCACACAGTGTTCAAAGCTCTCTAGTGAGCAAAGGAATGTCTGTCATCTAGAATGCACCACAGGGAGGCAGTGTTGTTTTTTTTTGGTTTAGCTTTTTAAACGTGGCCTATCCTTGCCCTGCGAATGTTGTGCTGTAATGTGAACAATCTGTCCAGTTATTTTCTGTGTGAGGCGGTTTAATAGTGAAATCAAATGCAGGACACAAAATTGTAGAAATGTATAGAATGTAGGAGAATGCTTGCATTCCTTACACATGCAGTATGAGTTCAGACAGATTGGATAGTTTGCAGTCTTCCAACTGTTGAAAATCAGTCTAATTCAGTGCAAGGGGACAGCTGGGTTCCATTGTTGATGATAATGCAACATTTTGGGTGTTAAATGTTAAAGTTATAGCTTTTAAGGGATAAAGATGAACTCAAGGCAGATAAAAATGACACATGCAATGCAGCTCTTATTCATTAAAGTACAATGTGTATAACTGAGCCCTGGTTCACACATATGCAGTGCTGGAAATATTGTGATTCCTGTGCCTTTCCCGCACAGCTTTGCAAGTGCACTGTGAACTCGCACCCACAGCAGATTGCAAGGTAACACCCCAAAAGCATGACACAAAGGAATTAAAAACTGTCAGGGAGATTCAACCTTTTTATTTGTCCTGTTTTTTTGGTTGACACCAGAATAATAAGATGGGAAATCTTCCTACGGGAAACACTAGTTCTGGTGACACACTGGAGATTTCCTTACTTTGGAAAGATTTCTTCTCCCTACCAATTTTGGCTATGGAACGGGAAGTGAAAGAAAATCTTCCCAATGAGACACAGGTGACAAAAAAATTGACAGGTGTTGTGAACACACCCCCACCCCCTTCCTTTCTTTATCAAAATGAAAAATATATTTTACCTTTTTTTTTTTTTTTTTTTTTTTTTTTAGTTCCATTTTATTATACCTTTTTTCTAAAGTGTTTGTGTGGGTTTTTTTTTGTTTTTTTTTTTTCTTTTGATTTTTACACACAACATGGTAAATCCAGCACATACTTCTCTTATAACAAGTGGTCAAGGACACTCTGAATAGGTGCTTTATTGAACTAGATCCTCCTAATCTCTGGACATTTACTTCTGGCCTACAGTGACATTTTTGGCAGGCCATAGACGAGCCATTTACCATCCGAATTGTCGGCCGATAAACGAAAAATCGGTCAGCCCCGTTGCCGATGCTGCCACCAGTGTCCATGAAAAACTGCCGTTTTTTTTTGTGGATTTTCCAGCATGACTGCTAAGAATGAGAAAAACGGCCGATGGGCTGGCCCCACTGACGGCGTGATTATCAGCCGATTTTTCATGCGGACGAAAAGTCGGCCGATAAACGACCCGTCTATGGCCTGCATTACCCTATATGACCTTTTATATATTGTTGGGATCTGTAAAGTCAGCCCTTTCAGTTGGCCATATGCTGCTGGACTGGCCAAATCTCAAATGTGTATGTGGGCTCCCCTGTTTGGCAGATGACTGTTTTGAGATCTGTCAAATGAACATGCTGGAAAATTCTCCACTGATCTGCTGATCAGTGTATGACAGAGGCAGGTTCCACTGTCCGAATACAGGATCTCTGTGGGGGAGGAGGTTTAAGTGTACTTAGGTGTGGTACACCACTTAGTAACCAGTCAACATCCTGCTGTCCTTTTATACAGACCTGGTGGCACACTTTTCATACACCTGCTTCATACTGTATTTTCATGTGCTTTTATTTTTGTGCAATATCCGGGCCATTTGTTTCTCACTACCCACAGAGAAAAAAACGTTCCATTTTTCTTTGCGGGTAGCGACTGCAGGGGAGGAGCAGCTTCTTGCGTTTCTGCAACATAAAGCCACTGTTTCCCCTCTTTTTTCTAAAATGTCAAGTGACATTCCATTCATTTCTATACACAGCAGCTGTGCTACTGTGCATGCAGACGCAGGGACACACATACAGTTTTGTGGGGTGGTGTGCAAAAATGCAACATGTCTGCCCCATTCACACGTTTACACAGCAGTGCAGAAAAATGCACGTAGAAAACCGTTGTTTTCTGTGTGCCATTGCAGAGAGTTGCTTTCTGCTATAGGATGAACCTGCCTTTAAAAAAGGAAAGCTCAGCTGACCACATTACACCTATGCTGCCATGGAATTTTGAATTTATATGGAAATCTACGCTTGTTTTGTGGATGTCATGTTAATCTCCAAATCTATTCTGTTATAAATTTGATTATTCATCCTTAAAGCATATTCATGGTCAATGTAAAATCCTATTCATTACCAATTCCACTTTGTATTTATTTCTAGCCTACTGTGATTTAATCTGAATGATCTTGAGGTTTGTAAACTTACTTTGCAAAGACCCTCATACAATTTATTACTTTGAATTTTCTGACACATTCACTAAGCCCTGTGAACAGGCACTTGCTGTGTCACATATTTCAGAGCCTGCCTTCTGAACTACAAAGTGCATCCAGAAAGTATTCACAGCATTTTAACTTTTGCCACATTTAGCTATGTTACAGCCTTATTCCAAAATGGAATAAATTATTTTTTTTTCCTCAACATTCTACAAACAATACCCCATAATGACGTGAAAGCAGTTCTGTACATGTATTTTTTTTTTTTAATAAATAAAATTTCAAAACGAAGTATTCACAGCCTTTGCCATGACACTCAAAATTGAGCTCTGGTGCACCCTGTTCCCACTGATTATCCTTGAAATGTTTCCACAACTTGATTGGAGTCCACCTGTGGGAAATTCAGTTGATTGGACATGATTAGGAAAGGCATAAACCTGTCTATAGAAGGTACCACAGTTAACCGTGCATGTCAGAGCACAAACCAAGCCATGAAGTCCAAGGAATTGTCCGTAGACCTCCGAGACAGGACTGTATCAAGGCACAGATCTGGGGAAGGGTTCAGAAAAATTTCTGCAGCATTGAAGGTCCCAGTGAGCACAGTAGCTTCTATCTGTAAATGGATGAAGTTTGGAACCACCAGGAATCTTCCTAGAGTGTGCCGCCCGGCCAAAATGAGCGATCGAGGGAGAAGGACCTTAGCCAGGGAGGTAACCAAGCACGCGATGGTCACTCTGAAAGTGAGCTCCAGCATTTCTCTGGAGTGAGAACCTTCCAGAAGAACAACCATCTCTGACAGAAGCCACTCCTCAGTAAATTGCAAATGGCAGCCCGCCTGGGGTTTGCCAAAAGGCACCTGAGGGACTCTCAGACCATGAGAAACAAAACTCCCTGGTCTGATGAAACAAAGATTGAACTCTGCCAAGCGTTATGTCTGGAGGAAACCAGGCACTGCTCACCACCTGGCCAATACCATCCCTACAGTGAAGCATGGTGGTGGCAGCATCATGCTGTGGGGATGTTTTCCGGCGGCAGGAACTGGGAGACTAGTCAGGATCGAAGGAAAGATATATAAATGCAGCAATGTACAGACATCCTTGATGAAAACCTGTTCCAGAGCACTCTGGACCTTAGATGGGGGACGGTTCAACTTTCAACAGGACAACGACCCTAAGCACACAGCCCACATAACAAAGGAGTGGCTACGGGCCAACTCTGTGAATGTCCTGGAGTGGCCCAGACTTGAACCCGATATTAACATCTCTGGAGAGATCTGAAAATGGCTGTGCACCGACACTCCCCATTCAACCTGATGGAGCTTGAGAGGTACGGCAAAGAGGAATGGGAGAAGTTGCCCAAAATTAGGTGTGCCAAGCTTGTAGCGTCATACTCCAAAATGACTTGAGGTTGTAATTGGTGCTAAAGGTGCTTCAACAAAGTATTGAGCAAAGGCTGTGAATACTTATGCACATGTGGGTTTTTTATTTTAAATAAGTTACAAAGATTTCAAAACTAACTTTTTTCACATGGTCATTATGGAGTATTGTTTGTAGAATGTTGAGGAAAAAAATTAATTTAATCCATTTTGGAATAAGGCTGTAACATAACAAAATGTGGCAAAAGTGAAGTGCTGTGAATACTTTCTGGATGAACTGTAGATGTGCTGAGAGGAGGAGTTTCAGAAGGCAATCTGTACAGGAATCATTGCTTGCAGGCAGCAAGGCACCAGGGGATATGTAGTCCTTTTTGAAGTTAAAAATAAACCGCAGAGGAGAAGCTGAATGCAGGGAATACAGGAAGATGTGGAAAAATATGGCCAGCACAGAGGCAGCAATCACAACATGAAAGAGCTTGTATGAGATTAACTAGAACAAGTGTTTGTATTGTTACAATGCTGAAAGTGTATGCTGTGACCATAGATTATCTTTGTACATCTTGGGTGGTCAAGGTTGCGTCTCACATTTAAAGTGTGGAGCCATGCTAGACTTGTACAGGAAGGGCCAAGATTTGCATGAAACTTCAGCTATTTTTTTCTGGCCCTGCTTATTTTGACATGGGGGTTTACTCTAAAAGGCAACACACTTAAAGCCCACTTCCAGGTTTCTTTTATGTGCATTGTGTTGACATGCATCATGTTAATGTGGCCTATTTGAATATCCTGACAGTGCACTACAGTGGTCAGGAAAGCAGGTGCAATACAGGTGTTGAGGTGCCATTCAAAATCTAGCTTTCTTGCAGTGCTTTTCCTAAACACCATGGTGTGACCCCTGCCTCAGACTTTCCACCATATGCTTAGTCTGAGTTGCTTAGGGTCTCCCTGCTATACTTATAAACACAAAGGTCATAATTTCTGTAAATAATGAATTCTGGGATTGCCATGGAGCTGCTACAACTTCCCGTATTGCAATAGTTAAATGCTTGTTAAAGCGATTCTAAAAATTTTTTTTTTTTTTTTTTTTTTGCTTGTAAAATAACAAACATGTCTATACTTACCTGCTGT